GGGGGCTTCTGCGCTCCCGAACGGGCCAGCACGGGCAGCCCGGGATGCGTCCGCGCGTCGGTACGGCTGGGTAGTCCCGCCTCTGTCCATGGGTCCGTGGGTCTCGAGGCGTCGAGTCCTCTCCTTTATGTGTCTGTGTGTGTCTGCACATCCACGTGGCTGTGTGTGTTGTGTTGCGTGTGTGTCGAGCATTGTGCGGCTGAGGCATAGTCTGTGTCTGGGTAACCGTGCGTCCCTGGGGGAAGGTGTTGTGAAGCTGTATGGCGGGGCTGTGTGTCCCCAGGGCCGTGATGTCCCTGGGTGACCCGTGGGGTGTCCCCATGTGAATGTGTGGCGGTTGGGGGGTTGCCGGTGAGTGGGGAACTTCTGTCATGTGGCTGCGTCGTGCGTGTGATTAGCGCCCAGTGACTATTCCTGGGGGTGGGTCTACACTCCCCCTGCCCCCCCCCCCCGCCAGTTCCTTGTTTCCTGTAACCGGGATTGCTGAGTGAGGGACGGGTGTTTCCTCTAGCACGCCAAAGCTCTGCCACCCCCCACACCGTCCCCTCCACTTCCCCCTGACTCGGGGTACGGCCGTACGCGGTCCCCAGGTGGTCCTGGCTTGAGGTTCGGGCGCGAGGTGGCGCCGGGACACGATCACACGGCGGCGGCGGCGCCTTCTCCCGCCAGGGGCTGCGCGTGCGCGGGGACCTGCCCCGCAGGGAGGCGGGGCGCTGGGGGTCCCCCCACTCCGCGGCGGAGGAGGTCCCGAGGATGGCTGGTTACAGAAGCGGGCGGGCCAGATCGGGCTCAGGAGAGTTGGCCAAGGAGACCCCCTCAGCCTCTCTGCAGGGAGCCCCCCCCCAGCCCTGCCTCCTTGCATTTGCTCCCTACGAGGCCACCCGGGTCCGGCACAAAGTGGTTTTCTCCCCTCCAGGGGACTCGCCCGCTGTACGCCCCCCCCACCCCAGGGCACTTTATATAATTTTCTAAATATAAGAGCACCAAGGCCAGACCCGAGTCTCTGCTGTTTTCTTTGAACCTGCATCCCATGTCGGGAGGCTGTTTGGGAGGGGTCAAGGGGGCCCCCACACCAGGGTCACGTAGTCTGGTCAACTTCCCACCCTTTGCCAGTCCGGTCGGGTCCTCAGCGTCCCCTGCTCTCCGCCAGCACTCCCGCGACACCTGGTCTGCCTAGACACAAGCCTGTCCTGCTTGTCGCCTGGTGCCATGGGAACCTCCAGACGCCCACGGCCACACCCGACCCTCATGGTGTCCACAGCCACAGCTGTATGTGACCCCATGCACGCAGAAGTGCACACACAGACCCACAGGGACACTCAGGCTCACAGGCAGGCACCTGCACTTGGGAGGGTGGGAGGCGAACCTCCCCGCCCTCCCCCACCCCGGGCGGCCTGCAAAGCCTGCGCCCGCTCCGCTGAGGAGCTGATGGGGCAGCAGCTGGGGTGGGGGGGGAGCGGGGCACCGTGTGCGGGGCTGCCTGTGCGGACCCTGGGAGGGGGTCTGCTGTGGGCGTGTGTGATCCTAAGTGTGTAATGGTTGTGTTTGTGGGTGTGAAGGAGCATATGTGTGCTGTGTTCACGGTTGTGTGCGCACTTGTGTGTCTGTGTCACTCTGAGTCTGCACAAGTGTGCATGTTCGTGTGTGTGTGATATGTGAGGGTCCGCGTGGCCTGGTGTGCGTGCCATCTGGGCCAGCCTCGTGTCCTCGCCTGCCTCTACTTACCAAGACCAAAGACCTTAACATCCCCTCTAGTACCTCAGCTTCTCCTCCGTAAGATGGGGACACACACGGGCCGAGGAGGGTGACACTGTCCTCTGTTCTGTCCTCTGTGCCGGGTCCTTTGTTCTCGGGGCGTGGTGATAGGGAAGTGCCTTGTGGACACCTGCGGTCCCTGCCTGAGCTGCTCTGTGAATTCCACTCACGCTTCAAAAAGTTTGTTTTTCATCACACCAACCACCCGTGGGGCATCTAGAGAGGATAGAAAAGTGTCCAAAGAGGGGACCAGCCTCTCCCCGTGGGACCCCAGTCCGGGGAAGAAGCTAGGTTTTCATTCTGCTCTGACCCGTCGCATAGCTCAACAGGCACATATTCTTATAAATGATGCCGACATATTAAAAAAAAAAAATCCCAAATGAGAGCTTGAGTCTACTTGGTGGCATTTACGGGGGGCGGGGGGAGGTCCTCACCGGGGACTGTTCTGCCCCAGGAGACACTGGGCCGTGTCTGGGGACACCTGTGGTCGTCAGGACGGGGGTGCTCCTGGCATTGAGTGGGAAGGAGCCAGGGATGCTACTCGACACCCCCCCCCACAGAACCCAGGATGCACCGCCCCCCTCCCTGGCAGAGAATGATCCAGAGTGCCCCCAGGGGGAGAAGCTTGCTTCCCCCAGCCTGTCTCTTGGAGACATCTCCAGTAGGGAGCCTCTTGCTCTTTTGAGTTCCGCACTGTTCCAGTCTGTGCCCGCGCTGCCCCACGATTGGGGGCCTTCGCGTTACAGAGTGGTGTAGACAGGTAATCAACACACTTGTGCATCCGTATCAGGGCCAGTTAGGAGACTGAGGATGAATTATAAGGAGCGTGCATTATTTAATTTTTTAGCCACTGAGCTAAATCGGGCCCCCGAGTGGCAGGAGCTAAGCCCTGCCCCCCTCCCCTTCTGGGCCTTTGAACAGACAGGTCCCAGAGCACCAACTGCTTCGGAAAGAACCTCAGGGCCAGCTTTCACTGGTTCACCAGGGCAGCTCCTACCCTTCGCCCTGTTCTCACCGAGGGGGAAGCTGAGGCACACACAGGACTTTAGCTGCTGCCTGGAGAAGGCGTAGACCTGGCTGCAACCCTACACTGTAGCTGGTCTGCTGTGGACCCACTGTGTGCACTGCAGGCCCCTCCTACCCGACCCAGAACATCTAGATGTGGAACAGTTAGTTCACTGGTGTCTGTGAACTCGCAGAAGGTTCTGCCGTCCGCCGCCGCTGACGGTGGCGACAGTGCTCGCACAGGTAACCTCAGGACGCCTGTCTCCCCAGCCCCCCCTCCCCCCGCGTCCTGGTACCAGTGCCATTGTACAGATGTGGAAACTGAGGTTCCCAGGGGCAGTCTGTGCTCTGCAAAGTTCACCTTGCAAAGGAGCTCAGGTTGCAGGCAGGGCGGGGAGGAGGGGCCGGCGGGCTGGGAGAGTGCTCTGAAGTCAAGTGTGACTCTTACACGTCTGCGACTTCGGGATTCTGTGCTCTGGGTGTTCCTAGCAATTTTAAAATAATAAAATACTGCTTTATGTTAGGTTAGGTTAGGACTCGGATTCCTAGACACCCGACCTCCCCCTTCTTCCTGGGGTGTTAACACCCCCCAGCCGCACTGCTAAGCACTGTTTGTTTGCATAACAGACACCAGCTTGCAGTGGGGAGTCCATGCGCCCCGGGAATGGGCTGGGCGGTCTTTAGGACTCCTCCTCCCTCCTAGTCTAGCGCTGGGACCCAGGGCCAGTGGCTTCCTTTCTCTGGGCCTCAGTTTCCTCCCCTGTAACACGGGAGAAAAACAGGGTTCCTGGTACCTTCCATTTCCCTGGACATGGGACAGCTGCCCCAAGTTGGCCAGAGGGTAGCACTTGGCGTCAGGACACTGGGAGAGACAAGTCACAATCACCAGGCTTTCTAAGAATGTCTTGGACAAAGGTGAAGGCTCTGCAAAGTGTCCGTACCCTTATGCCCGTGGACCCTGGGGGGGTGGGGGGGAGACACTGTTGGTGCACTTTCTAGGGGACAACACAAGGGACAGAGCGACATATCACCCTCATCTGTGGAGGGGGAATGGGAGCTCCAGCAGCCGAGGCTGGGAGGGTTTCAGGGGTGAGGTCATGGTCATCAGGTACCCTAGGGGCTCACACTGGGGGAGGGCAGGTCTGTGTCCAGTTACAATCGAAGGAGAACAAGGGGGCTTTAGACATATGGGTGCTGGAGCCAGGGGGTCTGGCTCCAAGCTGCTCACTATGCCTCAGTTTCCAGATCCGTGAAATGGGCACAGGGCTGGAGTCAGTAGAAATTACTGGTCACCCAGGAAGAGGATGCAAGGGTTTGTCTGGCCAGCCTTAGGTTCTGGACACGTCCTCCTGGGACGTTGGGGAGGCTAATGGGGGATGCCAAAGCACCCCCCCCCCCAGTTCCCCAGTGGTGCTAAGTGAAGAGGTGACAGCAGATTCCTGGAGGCTCTGGGTTAACTGGGAACTTTCTCGGGCTGGTGAGCTGCGGGAGGTCACTTGGAGCCAAGCCCCTGTGCCCGGGGAACTGTGTCTGGTTCTCGGGAGAGCAGGGGGAGACCGTGCCGTAGGACCCCTTCTCCTGCCATGCACCCCGGGTCGTACATCTTTAAGGGGAAAGACGCGCGCTGGCGCCGGGCCTCTGCACACGTCACTTCTTCATTCTTTCCCTCCCCCCCCCCACTTGGCTCTTTTCTCCAACTTCCCGGCCAGCGCGGGGAGGGTTGGGGTGGGGGGGTCTTAAAAATCCACCTCCGGCCCCCAAGTGTCCGGCCAGAGCTCAGCGCCCCCTCCCCACTTGGCTCCGGCCGGCGGTCCTGGGAGGCCCGCGGCGGCCGGGGTCTGCGCGGCCGGTGGACCCCCGGCCGGTGCCCGGCACCAGGGCGGCTCGTCATTCGTAATAATAGCAATGATGGGGGTTCACGGGGCGCCGGGGGGAGCGGCTTTCCCCTCCCCGCTCGCGCTCTTTTTTCCCTCGTTTCTTTGAAAGTTGGATGTTGAGAAGTGGGAGGTTCGGGTAGGAGGGGAGGGAAATTGGGGGGGAGGGAGGGGGGAGGTTGCCGGAGGGAGGAGAGACAGAGACACGGAGAGACAGAGACGGAGGAGGAGAGAGGGAGGGGGGACAGGAAAGGAAGAGAGAGGGAGAGCGAGCGAGCGCGGGAGGGAGGGAGGAGGGAGACCGAGGGAGGAGGCGGCGAGGAGCGCGCCGGCCGCGGCCGCGGGGGGGGGTTTGGAAAAATGACTCAGTAAGTTCAGCGCGCCCGCTCCGGCCGGCCCTGCGCCTCCCGCCGCGCCCGGGATGTATTCGTCCCCGCTCTGCCTGACCCAGGTACGCCCCGCGCCCCCCGCGCCCCCCGCGCCCCCCGCCGCCCGGCCCCGGAGCCGCGAAGCCCGAGGAGGCGGGACGCGAAAGGCGCGCGTCCCTCCCGCCGCCCCGCCGCCCCGCCGGGGCGCCCCCGCCGCGGGCCAGGGTCCGGTGGGGGATGGGCCGGGCCGGAGACCCCCGCCCTGACCCTCCCCGGGACTCCCGCCCCGCCTCTCCGGCGCCCAGGCCTCTCCGCCGCCCCCCAATGCGGACGCGGGACTTGGGGTGCAGGCTCGCCGGACGCGCGCCCCCATTCCACCCAGGAAGGTCTGGGGGCGCCCCCCGCCCCGAGTGCCGAAGGCGGGCCTCTGCGTGACCCACCCCCCCACCTCCGCCCCGGACCCGGCCTGCCTCCAGGTGGCATCGAGGGGTCCTGCCTGGACCCCCCCACTCTGCAGTCTTGAGGAGAGGATCCCTCAGATGTGCTCCCTAGACACCCCCCCCCCCACCGCCAAGGTTGTGCCCCGATGCCCCGGCCCCGGGACGCCTTTCCCCCCATTACTGGCCCACGTGTGCGTGGAGGGGGAGGGGGCGCGCGGAGTCGGAGGCGCCGGCAGCTGGGGGAGGGGGCGCGCTGACGTCCCGGCGTGGTCTCCCGCGCCCCCCGCCCCCTCCCCATCTGATATTTTCGCCGCATCGATTCTGGATTGTTGAGTCGCGCGGCCAGGAGGAGCCGGGAGGCTGGAGGTTCCGGGGTCTGGCCGGGGCACTGCGGCGCTGCGGACGCCCTCGCCAGCCCGGCACCTGCCCCTGCCCCCCTCCCGTAGCCTCTCACCCCTGGCCGCGCTCCCAGACCGCCCCGGGCCGAGCCCTTGTGCAACGGGCAAGGGGGTGCGTGGGGAGGGGGCGGCTGCCCCTGCCCCAGGCCGCACCCGGGGACTCCTTTCCTCCCCCAGCTCCCTCTGGGACCCCCCTCCCAGGTCTGCTTTCAAGCTCTCCCCATATCCTGATGTGTCTTTAGGCCTGTGGGGTTCCGGCCTCAGTTTCTCCCGAGGACTAAGGCTCTGGAGACACAGGCAGTGCGGCCTCCAGACTGTAAAGTGCAGGACTCTGGGCGGCGGGCGGGAGCACCTTGTGGGGAGCACGTGGATGCCTGGCTTGGGCCCCAGGGGCCGCCAGTGTCTCGGGGGGTCCTCTGTTCAGGATCCTGGGGTCCCCCTCATTCATGGTAGAACCTTTCTTGCCCCGCTGGGAAGTTCCTGGCTCCCCGCAGCCGACGGGAGGGCGGATGCCGAGGGGGTCTCAGCTTGTCCTACCCATGATCCCGAGTGACCTTGGGCAAGTCCCTGCGCATATCCAGGCCTCAGTTTCCCCTTCCAAACAACGCCAGGGGGTCCCCGGAAGCTGTCCCTGCTGCGCCACCTCTGCCTCCCAGCTGTCCTGAAGCTCTCCCCGCCGCCCCCCCCACCGCTGGGAACAAGCAGGGTTGTAGTCAGGGTTACCGCGTGACCTTGGGCCTCCCCGTCTCTGGGCTTCTGGGGTGGCCCGGGTGGCTGTGGGTGCCCCCGCCCCCTCTGCCCTTCTCGGGCTTGCCAGCTCCCTGGAGCCAGGCAGGGGGGGCTGAGCCAGGGAGGAGGTTGGAAGGCCGCCTTTTGTCACCGAGCCCTGGAATTCCCCCATCAGGACTCCTCGGGAGACAGGCCTCCCTCCATCCAGGCTGCGGTGGGAACCGGGCGGCCGCGTGTGCTGCCGGGGCCTGGCTTGCGCCCCGGGGCAGGGCGGCCGAGGACCGGCGGGGGGGGGGGGGGGGGGGGGGGCGGGTGCTCCTGCTGGAAACAACAGCAAGGAATATCCCAGGCTGAGACGGGACACAGGAGGGAGCCCCCCACCGTGGGGGGCGAGGGTGAGGAGGGGCGTTCCAAATGCAGGGGCCTCCCCTGCCCTGTTCTCCTGCGTCCCCCACCCAGGAGGGGCGCCCCAGGACCCCTCCTCAGGCTCCCCATGGCCTAGGTGTAATCCTCGGTGCTCCCTGAAGCCCGGCCTGGCCTGGGGGCTCCAGCGGGGTCACCCGGACGGACCCTGAGCGCCCAGCAGGACCTCCGCTCCTGGCTGCCCCCCAGCCTCCCTGACCGGCCGCCACCTCCTTTCTCTCTGACCGTCTTCATCTCCTTTCCTCCTCTGTCTCTCTGTCTCTCCCTGTCTCTGCCTCCATGTTCTCTCTCTCTCTGCCCCCCCAAATCTGTCTCTCCCCACCCCTTACATCTCTTGCCCTCTCTGTCTCTGTGTGTGTCTCTCCCCATGTCTCTCCGTCTCTGGGCCTCCATCTCCCCCCTTTTCCCGACTAATTGTACAACCTGAGCCCATCCCAAAATAGCTCCCTTTTAGCTGATCCAACCCGGATCCTTGTCGGAGCTGAGAGAGGTGGGAGGGGGTGGGGGGGAGGCAGCCCCGGTGCCAGCGCCCCTGTGCCCCCCGGCCCTGCCCAGCGAGAGGGGGGTGGCCACGGCGGCCCCGGAGGATTCTGGGAGCCCCGTCCCTGTTTCAATGGTGACTCAAGCGCTTTTTCACTTTTACTCTTAAGAGGAACTGTGTGGAGCACGGCCGTTACTTCCATAAATCCTGCAGGCGGGAAGGCCGGCCTCCCGCTCGCCCTGCCGGGGCCTCCCTCCCTGCCTCCCTCCGCCCGCCACGCCGCCACGTTACTTATTCCGGGTTTGGGGCCAAATCCCTCTTGGCCGCAGTGCCCAGGATTCCCTGGGGCCGCGGGGCTGGGCCACGGCCGAGGCCACGGCTCCCCCCCACCCCCGGCCGCCAGGGCCCCTCCCTCATTCATTCATTCCTCCCTTCATTTCTGCCCCTCGGTCCCTCTTTCTTGCCATTTCCCTGGCGGGGAGACTGAGGCTGGGAGGGTGGCCCTGACTTTTGGTGGGTTTACTAGGTATGTTTTGAAGTGCCTGCTAGGGAAGGGCTGGGCGTCGGCAGTGGGTGATGTCTCGGCCTGGTGTGGGCTTTGGGGGGTCGGGGTCCCCCAGCACCTCAGGGCTGGGGGAGGAGCCCGGGCCAAAGAGGGTCAGGGCCTGCCCCAGAGCGGCACAGCCTGGCCGTCAAGGCTGGGTTCAGGACCACTTCCTGCGGGGGCTCAGCCAGCTTGGGGCGGTGGGCGCTCCCTGTGCAGGTGCCCCCCCCCCGGGGTCTGCCAGCCGCTGCCCACTCCTGCGGGAAGCACAGCCTCACTCCAGGTCGCTCTCTGTGTCCGTGGCTGCGTCTCTCCCTCCCTCCCCTCTGCGGCGGCGGGTGCTCAGCGCCAGGGCCAGGCGCCTTGTAAATCACGAAGCCGGGACTCTGGCCGAGTCAGCGTTCTCTCTCCCTCCTCCCGCCCTCCCTCTCTCCTTCCCTCTCTCTCTCTGTCTCTCTCTCTTTCCCTGTCTCTGTCTCCCTCCCTCCCTCTGTCTGTCTGTCTGTCTCTCTCAACCTGAGCCATCTGACCCGTGTGTCTCACAGCAAATGCACAGGAGACCCTCACCACATCCTGGCCCTCCTGCCCCGCACAGCACGCGCGCGCGCACACACACACACACACACACACACATTCACACCGACCCGCAGACGCCTGTGCCACCACCTCACCTGGGTGCCCGCTCAAGGACTCCCATGGGACTGAACCGCACACGGCCACATGCACAGGCGTCACAGATGCCACACCAGTGAAGACGGGGCCCTGCCTCCCCTCGGCTGTGCCCTCGCGGGGGTCACCGGGCCGGGCACCCAGGGCGCCTCAGGGCTGTGTGCAGATCTCGCTCAGAGGCTCAGGACTGGGCCCTGGGCTGTCTGGCTGTGGGACTCGGGGCTGGGGACCTAGCTCTTCGGTGCCCCCCCCCCCCGTCCTCACTGTGAAGTCGTCCGCTGCTTGCTGCTGCCTCAGGGTTCGGGGAGGCACACCCCTTAACACAGAGCCTGGTATCCAGTGGGTGCCACATAAATGTGGCTGAGATTATGGTTGTCGCTAAACTAGTGATGGGATCCAACATCTGGGGGGCGTTGTCAACCTGCCGTCCCCTCATTCTGTCACCGTTCGGTGGGCAGGAGCCCAGCCCTGGTCTGGGCGATGGGGACAGCGGTGTCCCCGAGGGGCCTTTCCCCCCTGCCCGGCCCTGTCCGGGGCCTTCCTGTGTCCCGCCAAACCCAGCAGGGTAGCGGCGCCCTGGGGCGTGTGGCGCGTACGCGGGGCTGCTGAGGGGCGACGTTGTTGCTCTGGGTCCCCCAGGGGCTGCTCTCTGGCTGAGGGCGAGGAGGCATGGGACCTGGGACAGCCTTGGGGAGTGGAGTCACGCAGGATCCAGGGACCCAGGGTGCAGGAGGGGCTCTCCGGGGAGTCCCAGCCATGGGCCCAGACCACGCGCCTGAAGGGCCCCCCAGCGAGGCGGAGGAGTCGGGAGGTCCCCCATCACTGGGTAGCGGGCTCGCTTCCGGCGTGGCTCCTCCCTGGCCGCGTGACTGGGCGGGTGGCCTCCGTGCTCAGCGCCTCAGTCTCTCCGTCCAGAAAATGGGTGTAACAATTGTCCCTGTCGGTAGCTCAACAAACGATCAGCCCCTGAAGTGACCCCTCTGTCTCTCCCACACCCTGGCCCTTGGCTCAGCCCTTGGGATCTCGCTGGACCAGGAAGGCACAGAGAGGAGCCAGGAGATGTAGGGTTCAGATTCCCTGTCACTTTGGCGGGAAGTCTCCATTCCCACTACTCAGGATACAAACCTAGGTTCCTCCCAGTGGCCCACTAGGCCCTGCACACCCAGCCCCGTCACCTCCCTGCCCTCACCCCTTCCAGTCTCCTTCTTGTCCGCTCTGTTTCAGCGACACCAACCTCTTCACTGTTCTTGCAAAACGTCAGGTGTGGTCCTGCCTCAGGGCCTTTGCACATGCTGTTTTTACTATGTGGAAAGTTCCTACCCTGGATTGTCTTCTTCTTTTTTAAATTTTTTAATGTTTATTCACTTTTGAGACAGAGAGAGACAGAGCATAAGTGTGAAAGAGGCAGAGAGAGAGGGAGACAGAGAATCCGAAGCAGCTCCAGGCTCTGAGCTGTTAGCACAGAGCCCGACGTGGGGCTCGAACCCACAGACCGCAAGATCATGACCTGAGCTGAAGTCGGACGCTCAACCGACTGAGCCCCCCAGGCGCCCCTGGATTGTCATCTTTTAGGTCTTTGTTCAAGTGTCCTCTCCTATGACAGACCCTCCCTGACCACAGTCAGCTAAAAAGAACAACAACCCAAGTCTACCCTGACCCTCCTCACAGTCCTGTAAATTGCGTCAGAGCACTTTGTTCAAACTGACATCTTATTACATATTTGTCGGCTTGTTTGCCATCCGTCGCTACCCCAGATCAGGATCCAGATGAGGGCAGAGCCCAGGCCACTGCTGGGCCCACAGCACCGTGCGCGGAGCTGGCGCATAGTAGGCGCTCAATAAATGTTTGTTGAACAACCCCAGGAACCTCTCCCTTGTTACATGAGCGCTGTGCCTAAGATGCTCTGCTCTGAGCTTGGGGGGAGGAATTGCCCCATATGGGCCTGGGTTTGAATACGGGCTCTGCCATTTGCAGCTTAACCTGGAGGGAAAGACACTGGAACCGGGGGTTTTAGGAGTTTGGGGAAGAATTCAGGAGGTGGCAGGATAGCTTCTCTGTAACGCTTGGTGAGTCACTGAGTAAAGGAGGGAGAGAATCCTTCCTGGAAAAGTTGTGGTTTGTGAATAGGAGCTTCATGGTCCAGCCCATCCAGCCAGGGCTCGGCCCCAGGTGTCCACCTCCCAGATGCCGCTGCCCTGTTTGGCCAGGAAATCCCAGGGAGCCACGCGGAGCTTCTGGGAAAGGCCGGCTCTGCTCCCCGCCCCCCACATTGCCGCTCTGTTACCGGGAATAGACAAACCCCCAACCCCAACAGCTGCAGTACCCCGTTCTGCCCATTGTACAGAATGGGAAACCGAGGCCCAGAGCGGCGCGGTGATTTGCTCCTGGGTCATGCAGAGGGTGAGCAGGGAGGCCGCTGTCACCCAGCCCCATACCCTTACAGAGAGTCTGCTCAGATGAGTGTTTTAGCCCTGGGACCCAGGTTGGGGGAGCAGGGGCAGCAGTAGAGCCGGACATGGAGAACCGCAGCTCGTGTGGTCCAGGCTGGGTCTGGGGGAATCCCTGACGAGAGCAGGAAACTGCCCGAAGGAGGAGGGGCGCGGGAGACGGGGCTTTGAGGGACGTGTAGGAGTTCCAGGGGACTCGGCCTCCAGCTTGCCCTGACTGCCTCCTTAGCCTGGGCAGCCAGCGAGGGCGCCGGGAGGTGCCTGCCAGTGATGCCTTGGTTGTTGCAGGTCTTGTGCGACAAAGAAAGTGACAGGCCTGCCTGTCACCTGGCCTGACCTCCCAGGGAGGACAGGGCAGCAGGTCCATGACCCAGTTACAGACTGTTTGTCTTCCTTCCTCCAGGCCCTGCTGGGGTCACTGGTGACGTGGGCTCCCGCCCCTGTCCGCCTCCCTGGCACCTTTCCCCGAGAGTGGGCCCGGAGGGGGTGGGGCTCAGAGAGGGGGAGGGAGGCTCCTGGAAGGGGCGGGGCCCAGGGAAGGGGGGGGGTCCGGAGACAAAAGGGTTGTGGCGGCCTGTCCCTGCAGGCTGGCAGTCCAGCTGGCCCTTCCCAGCTTACCTCTTATCACTGTCCCGGGAAGCGCCAGAATTTGGGTGGCGGCCATGGCCCAAGGTCAACACCACTGCCTTGGCCTCCTGCCACGCCGGCGTCCCCTCCACTGGGGGCAGCGACCTGTGCTTCTATCGATAACCACCCCCCCTCCCCAGCTTCTCTGGCCAGGCAGCCTGGGCACTGGTCCCAGCTCTGCTCACCGGCTGTGTGACCCTGCGTGAGTCACCGCCCATCTCTGGGCCAGCATGTCAGGTGGCTTTGGGGCACAAAAAAGCCATGCTGGGGCTGGACAGACACCCTCCATTCTCGCTCTGCCTCAGCAGGCCAGTGGGGGTGGGGTGGGGTGGGGTGCGGGCAGCGGAAGGGAGCCCTGAGGTCCAGTCCCTGCTGCAGCTGTTACGGTGACTCACGCTTTGGGGGACAGTGGAGTGGGGAGCTGGGGCTGGCACGAGGTGAGCCCCGCCCGCCCCACCCTGGTGAGGCCAGGAGGCTATTTTCAGAGCCTTGGTAATAGATGAAATCCCTTCCCCCCAGCACCCCACGGTCAGAGGTGCACAGAGCAGGGAGGGCGGGGGTGACTGTGGGGTCTGGGCCCGTCCATCCGGAAAGCAAACTGACAGCACAGGGCAGCTGTCTCCAGACACCCCAGGCTGTTCTGAGAAGGGGCCTTCCCGGGGGCGGGGGACCTTGGGGGACCCTGGGGGACCGGACTCAGGTCTCCGGCTCTCCCTGATCCCTTCACACAATGGGGAGCGGAGTGGGCCCTGGAAGACTGAACCGCCAGAGTAATTGTAACAATGTCCCTAGTAATAATAGCATATAGTGCCGCCTCTCGAGAGCTGGGCAGATAATGGGGCTCATGTGCCAGGAAGCGATACGGCTCCAGGGCCCAGGCCAGAACGGGGACAGGGAGCCCGAGGTTTTCTTCCCTTTGTCTTCCTTTCTCCTGGAGGCTGAGAAACCAGGTCCCGGAAGGCTCTGCAGACTCAGTTTCCCTGGATGAAACACAGACAGGCAGTCTCCTACCCCCATAGAAGGGGACCGGGGCTCCCGCGCCCTGCGCTGCGCTCCGGGGGACCCCGCTAGGCTGCTGCTGCTGGGGCTGTAGGGAAGTCGGATGGGTGTGGGTTCCCTGCCCCTCGTGCCTGGGTCTCCTCTTAGGGCCTTGGTTTTCTCATCTGTACAGTGGGTGTTGGGGCCTCCCGGCAACACCGATTAGGCATGATTGGGGGGAGGGGCGGGTGTTGAAGTCACAGGTCTGGCCGGGACTCAGGGCCTCCCCAGGCCTCAATTTTTCTGCCTGTGGCATGGGTCTGCGCGGAGCAGGGTAATAGGGTTTCCCTGCCCCCAGGGGCTCCTCTCTCCAGCTCTGGACCTCCATGGATGAGCCCCCCTTCCCTAGTATGTTCTGATCTCATGCCTTCTTGGGCCTCAGCTTTCTCTACCCCTACAGGGGGGTCTGTACGGGAGCCCCTCCCCCTTCCATCAGCCCCCGACTGCCCTAGTCTCGGCCCACAGACCTCAGCGGATCCTGTCTGTACCGCTGGTTTATAGGAATGACCCCGGCCCTCATTTTTAATTTTTATTATTTTTTTAATGTTTTATTTATTTCTGAGAGAGAGAAAGAGAGACAGTGTGAGCAGGGGAGGGTCAGAGAGAGAGGGAATCACAGACTCCGAAACAGGCTCCAGGCTCTGAGCTGTCAGCACAGAGCCTGTCGCGGGGCTCGAACCCACGAACCGTGAGATCATGACCTGAGCAGAAGTCGGACGCTTAACCGACTGAGCCAGTAGAGGCTGCCTTCAGCCCTGCGCCCTGCCTCCCCCATCTGGTGACAGCCTTCTTTGCTGATGATCTTGGAAACCAGCTCGAAGTGGCACTCTCGGCGCCTAGTCTCTCCTGCAATCATTGAGTGCCTACTGTATGCTTGGCCCTGTTCTAGACATTGGCGCTCACCCTCTCCTTCAGGGGTTTGCAAACTAAGGGCCCCAGGGCCCAATGCCCGCCACCTGTGTTTGTAAATAAGGCGGTACCAGAACGTGGCCACGCCCATCATTTCTGTGCCGTGTCTGTGGCAAATCTGGCCCCGCGGAGCGGAGTTGAGTGGCTGCAGCGGAATCGAACTCTCACCATCATGTTTTTTTAAGGTGCTTTCAAACCAGGGGTTGCTGACCCCCTTTCTAGTAGACAGAGACATCCTCGTTCTCCCGACCTCAGTTTTCCCATCGGTACAATGGGTTAGCCCCCCCATCAGCCTCCGGGGACCCTCCGGGGTTCAAGACGGACCTCCATGAACTTCTGCCTTGTCCTGCGCTTCCCACATAGTCCAAGCCTCAGTTTCCCCATTTGGGCAGTGGGTTCACGTCAGTCCCCCGTGCGCTTCTGCTGGGTCCCTCCCCACCCCCGGCCTTCACCCTTCCCCAAGAGGTTACCAGGTCTGCAGTGGCTCCCTGCCCACGCGTGCCTGGCCCTCCCCGTGGGGCTTCCTGGGGGCCCCCGACCTCAGTCTCCCGGGCCGGGCAGTGGGCCCACGTCCCCGGCGCCTCTGACCTCTGGCCTCTCGTGCCTGCAGGATGAATTCCACCCGTTCATCGAGGCGCTGCTGCCTCACGTCCGCGCCTTCGCCTACACCTGGTTCAACCTGCAGGCGCGGAAGCGCAAGTACTTCAAGAAGCACGAGAAGCGCATGTCGAAGGACGAGGAGCGCGCGGTCAAGGACGAGCTGCTGGGCGAGAAGGCCGAGGTGAAGCAGAAGTGGGCGTCCCGGCTGCTGGCCAAGCTGCGCAAGGACATCCGGCCCGAGTGCCGCGAGGACTTCGTGCTGGCCATCACCGGCAAGAAGGCGCCGGGCTGCGTGCTCTCCAACCCCGACCAGAAGGGCAAGATGCGCCGCATCGACTGCCTGCGCCAGGCCGACAAGGTGTGGCGGCTGGACCTGGTCATGGTCATCCTCTTCAAGGGCATCCCGCTCGAGAGCACCGACGGCGAGCGCCTGGTCAAGGCGGCGCAGTGCGGCCACCCGGTGCTCTGCGTGCAGCCGCATCACATCGGCGTGGCGGTCAAGGAGCTCGACCTCTACCTGGCCTACTTCGTGCGCGAGCGAGGTGAGGCGGCGGGCGCGCGCGCGCGCGCTGGGGGGAGGCTCCAGGGGTGATGCGCGCGCGCGCCCGGGGTCTCCAGGGGTGATGCGTGCGCGTGCGTGTGCGCGCGCGCTGGGGGGAGGCTCCAGGGGTGATGCGCGCGCGCGCCCGGGGTCTCCAGGGGTGATGCGTGCGCGTGCGTGTGTGCGCGCGCTGGGGGAGGCTCCAGGGGTGATGTGCGCGCGTGCGCGGTCAAAGCAAGGAGGCGGTTCGGGCGCGCGCCCGAGAGGCGGTGAGGGGCTGAGAGGGTAGGGGGGCCTAGGCTAGGGCCCGGGACAGGCACAGGTGTCCTGAAGGTCTCAGGGGAAAAGATGCGGCTCAAGAAGAGTCGGGGGGGGCAGGCAGTGTGTCTCGGGGGCTTAAAGGTGAGAGGCGAGCTCTTGAGATCTCGGGAGATGAGATCCTGTCCCAGACGGTCTGAGGGGCCACAGAAGGCCTCGCTGGGAATAGGGGCTGGGAATAGGGGTGAGGACGGGAGCGTGGCCGGTGGCAGACAGTCTGCCTCCGGGGAAAGCTGAGAGAGGGCTCTGGCTGCGCGCCGCCAACCCCAGCTGGTCAGCTCTGAGACCTTCAGAAGAGGCCTGGCGGGTCCCGTCTTTGTGCCGAGTGGGAGCCTGGGTGCTGTGTGACTTTGGCTGGGTTATCACCCTCTCTGGTCTCCTGTGTTCCCTGGCTCCGGCCCTTCTCACTGGGTGTTTGCTGGCTCCGTGGTCGAATGCCCACCTGGAGACCAGCAGGGTTTGTGAGGGTGAGGAAATCCAGGGCAGCTTCCTGGACAAAGCGGTGTGGCTGGGCTGAGCTCTGTGGGCGGCTGGACAGTGCCAAGTGCGGGGGCGACCCGAGGGTGCGCAGCCTGGGCAAAGATGCGGAGGCCAGAGGTGCGGTCCGGCCTCTGGATGCCGGCAGGGCTGGTGGCCAAGGGCAGGGCCGTGGGCTCTGTGGCCCTGCTGCTTCCTGTGCGTCCAACTTGGGCCTCAGTTTCCCCCGTCTGTCAAATGGAGGTTCTGAGTCCTTAGCTCTATTAGGCCCAGTGGACTCGCCGATCATGCATGTAGCGTGTGGACACTGGCCTGCCACGTGGCGGGTGTCAGCTGCGAGTGTGTTCAGGTGGATAGAGTCCAGTGTGCCCGTAGGACCCAGTGGTCACATGTCACATGCCCCTCGTGCCCCGCCCCCTGGGCTGAGCCTGTGTGCACATGTGGGCACACACCCGGGGGGCTGCCTGAGGGGTCCGGTGGGGACATGCAGGTCGCAAGCCCAGACACAGCGACCCCCCCCCCCCAGGCGCATGCTCTGTGGCGCGACCAGAAACAGGAGGAAGGCTTGGGGCGGCTCAGGGTCTGGTGGGGGTTCCATGCAGAGCCCTGCCCTCCGTGGGCCGTGACTTTGCACACATCACTCTTCTGTGTGTTTCCTCTGCACGCCGGGTAACAACCACTCCACCCCTGGCGGTTGTATAGTACGGAGTAGATGACGATGCGGGGCTCCCGGGGGTGTGGGGAGGAAGAGGCGGCAGTTTCCCAGTCTCGACCTTGGTTCCTTGACCTTGACCCCTTCTGCCGCCCTCGCCCGGCTGCCCCTGAGCAGCAAACCCACTGAGGCTGGGAGCAGAGCCGCCTTAGGGGTCAAGGAGGCAGCGGGGTGGACAAGGTGACTGTTGGTGCCGGGCGGGGGGCGGGGTTGGCCTTGGGGGCTGCGGAGCTCATTACCATGCAGGTCCAGGCCTCTCCCGTCACATCCATCCTCCAGCCTGGCCCTGCCCCCACCTCCTCCGCGCTGAGCTGATAAAATTTTGAAGCGAGTTTTCTGCCAGTGTCAGCACAATCTCCAGGCGCCTCCCCTCCCCCTGGCCGCCCCCCTCCCCCCTCGGCTCAGCAGGCAGGCCCGGCCTCCAGGCTTCCCCAGACACCCTCGTGTCCGGCCGCCACGCCTTTGCCGGCCAGCCGGGTCAGCCTCTTCGTGCTCGAGGGCTGGGGAAGGTCACAGCCGTGGCCGCCCCCGCTGCTAGCGGGCTCCATGCTCCCCGCGGGAACCCCAGCTCCCAGCGGCCCCCGCTGACCCAGCTTCAGCTCAGTGGCTTGCCAGCTGGGTGATCTGAGGCCAGCCCCTTAACCTCTCTGTGCCCCCCTTCCTGGTCCTTAAAATGGGAAGCTCAGACATCGCTGGCCGGTAGGAGGGTTGGTCCTCTGGTAGGTGCTCAGCCAACAGCCCCCGTGGGGCACGGAGGAGAGCCAGGCGCGGGCCAGCGCTCCTGCTCCTCCTCGGCCGCCCTGCGGCCCCTGTTGTCATCCTCATCGTCGTCCCTGTTGGCCGGCTCTGCCCCTTTGCCCTTGACGCCCCCTCTGCCCGACCGCCTTTCTCACACGGAAAACTCCTGCTTATGCTTCAAAACCCCAACTCCTAACTCCACTTTCTCTCTGCCGGGCATTTTTTCTGAGTGGGTCGCGGTGCTGAGCCTTCAGCCCTGCAGCGTTGCACTGCTCTCATGGTCGAGGATGCAGAAACTGAGGCCCACAGAAGGCACCTGCGTGTCCAAGTTCACAGAGCCCGGGAGGGGGCGGGGGGAGGGATTTGGCTGCAGGCGGCTTCTGTTGAAGACAGCCCTGCACCCCGGATGGGGAAGGGGGAGGAGGTCAGTCGCGGTGTGCAGCCTGGGCACCCGGTCAGCGTGTAGGCACCTCCGGGCTGCCCTCCAGGACCCCTGCGCTCGTTCCGGCCCCAGCGAAATCTCTGTTCTTGGCCCGGCACGTGTCGGTCTGACGGCGGAGGCAGATGGCCGCCCTCCTCCTCCCACGCTGGGGTCTCAGGGCCGGAGAGGGCCGGGGCCTGGGCCTCAGCACAGCGCCCCCTTCAGCCAGTCCCACCGGGAGCATGCACGCAGGGGGGTGTTGGGGTGGGGCACCCCCTCCAGCCCGGAGGGCACCGCCTCCAACGTCAGAGGCGGACAGCCGGCGCATCAGATAGGGCGCCTCAGAACAGAGAGACGAGAGACACACGCAGAGACAGATGGGGGCCCAGACAGACAGGCACAGAGGCATGGCACTCGGTGCCCCCTGTCCTGGGACAGGCCCAGCCCCCCTGGCTTCCCCGGCTCTCCTGGGGGGACTGACCGGGGTGCTCCCAGGCCCCCATCCTCAGCTTTCTTACTGGGGATGAGCTCTGAGAAGGCCCGTTCACCACTGGGGCCCGGACAGAGCCTGGGGCACCTCCTGGGGTGACATCTGGCAGCCCCAGGCGTCCATCTGAGGCCCTGAGGCCCCCTCGCTGGGCGCAGTGTGTGCCCTGGAGGCAGCTAGGGGACCATGAAGAGCGGGCGATGAGAGCTTCACTTGGGGACTCAGGGGGCCGCCCGCTAAATGGGTACACTGTACAGGGGAACGGACAGTTCACAGTTCAGTGCATAAAAACAAAGCAGGGCAGGGCGTGGGGACGGGTGGGGAGGGGGCACTCCAGACCGAAGTGGGGGCCAAGGAGGCGACTTTTGAAATTGAGGCCTGAAGGAGGTGAGGGAGCCACAGACGGATCTGTGTGCGTGCGCCAGGCACGGGGGCTCAGCCAGTGCAAAGGCCCAGAGGCCAGCGTGGCCCAGCGCACAGCGCGCGGGAAGGCCTGGAAGGGGCGGAGGCGGGCGGAGGCAGAGGCGAGGCTGGTGGGGAGGCCGGGGAGGCGGGGCCGCCACTCCTCCACCTGCCTTGCATTTGGGAGGGAGCCTGGAGGAACCGAGGCCCAGAGAGGGAGGCGGCCTGCCCAGCCCTGAAGCCCGGCCAGGCCTCCCCGCCCCCCCCTCTGGCGGCCGGAGAAGCCTGAGGCGCGGGCGGGCGCCGTGCCAGGGCCGGGCGGGGGAGGGGCTGCCAGCCCGCCCGCTCCGGCAGCTGCCAGCCCGCCCGCCCCGAGCGGCCGGCCCAGATGGTGCCCATCTGCTGACGCTGACGCGGGGCCGGCTTCTCGTTCCCGCCTTGTGCGGTGCCAACCTCCCAGAACGGTGCTGTGGGCAGGGCCCGGCCTGGGAAGCTTGCAGCCTCTGGAGGGGCGCCCCCGGGGGAGGGCGGGAGACCCGAGGGGGCCCCCAGCCCCTCCTGGAGGGAAGCGGGGAGCGGTGAGGGCGACGGAGGGTATGGCTCATCCCACGTTGTGCCCCCCCCTCTCCACCGCCCTGCGAGGGAGGGGCTGGTTGTTACCTTCTCTGTGTCTCAGGCCCAGAGACTGTCAGCCACTCGCCCAAGGTCACACAGCTCCTAAGGGGCAGGGCCGAGTTAGAACCCCCAGGCCCCTGAAACGCCTCAAGGAAAAGAACTGAAAACCGCTCTGGAGGCTATTGGGGGGGACGCACACCCTCCCAGTGTGCAGAGGAGAAAGAAGATAAGTGAACGACTGGGAGCGAACCGCACTGAGGAGCTACCGTGACCAAGCCTGGGGGCCAGGGTCAGCGTGAAGGGCAGCCTGGGGCCTCAGTCGGGAGCAGGGGGGCCCGGGCGGCCACAGGTCTGGCCCCGGTGCGTGCCCTGCCCTCTCTGGCCTGGGGTTGCTGGGGAGCTGAGAGCGGGGGGCTCGGGCCTGGGGGACACAGAGAGGAGCAGGCCAGGCCACGGATGAGCCCCCACCCTCGGCCGAGCACTGGGCCCTCGGGAGGCACGAAGCGGGCCGGAGGCTGTGTGAGGACACCCGCTTCTCTGTGTGACGGCTGGCGGCGTGCTCGCTTCAGGCTGTGTGACCTGCGTTCTCCCCTCCAGCCTTGATTTTTCCATCTGTAAGTGGGGACAGTGAGAGTGGCGTCAGGGGGCGCCTGGGGGGCTCAGTCGGTTGAGCTTCCGACTTGGGCTCAGGTCAGGATCTCGCGTTTCGTGGGTTCGAGCCCCGCGTCGGGCTCTGTGCTGACAGCTCAGAGCCTGGAGCCTGCTTCGGATTCTGTGTCTCCCTCTCCCTCTGACCCTCCCCTGCTCACGCTGTCTCTCTCAGAAATAAAT